GTGGACTTGGTACATTTCCAGCTTCCATTCTTAGAACCAAAATACGACTCATCAAATAGGTCTGAAACTTATTGAGGATGCCGACTGCGATACTGAAATACATTCTTTGTGTCATCAAACCTGGATGACCGCAAGATTGACGCGTTATGGACAATAATTTGACTTCCTGATTTGCGTGAGTACGTCATTTCGGGCCTAACTATTCCCGGTCGTGATTTTCCTTGCACCGTGAAACTTTGAAGATTCCATTTTGACGTCAGGCTTTTTTCTAATTACTCCGAGTTATGACTTGTATTTCGGACACCCACTCAAGTACAAATACCCTACCTTCTATCCTTCTATCTTTTTATATATGCATCAGCTTTTCGTATCTATTTATATGTTTATCATGTAGGGTAAAGTGGGACAGAGTTTTTGATGTGGGCTATGTTAGCGTGATTTTCGGCTCTGATGATGTACGACAAATGGCGCGACGGACGAAATCACAGCGAGTTTTCACCTGAAACGTGGGATGATGTCTTGTGGAATTCATCAGCTCGGAGGCGCCATTAAAATCATACAATTTCAGAATAACGGCAATCAGCCGTCGTACTCTAGTGAGATCTTCATCATATACTCTTTTATACGAAAAGCAAGTCTCCACAGAGGTCACACAATCGAGGTCTTCACACCCTATTTTGTTCACACTTCTTGGCCATAGACATGCAAACATGGAGGCATGCATACTCAGGCATATACACATATGCACACGCATCTAAACGCATCAGAGGTCAACTCATCGCATGTTAACGCGAAATCAGTACACTTACCAGCGACGGCAGCCAAGCACACAGTTGCAGTCTACAGTTTGCCCTATTGCCGGGGTTGTGTGGAGGAGACGATGGGAAATCTGGCATTAAGGCAGCTCGACAAACAGCAGAAAGGTAAATAACTACATTTACCGACAGGCCGACGCTGCAACTAATGGCCACAATTTACTTATTTTTATCATCTAATCCTCACAAACAATTGCAATTGCAGCCACATTTTGCCCACTCGTGCTCAGTCCAGTATTGGCGCCGACTAAATGATCATTTTTCCCATCTCCCCGACCGGGGCACAAATTAGGTGTGAAGCAAAATGAGAGTCGCATGGGACAGGGGGGCGGGTGGAGGTGGAGGTGGAGGTGGGTGAGGTGTGACTTCAAGTCGGGCTGTTAGGCGGGCCTGCGAGGACAAATAGGATTTGGGCGAAAGCTCTTGAAACTTGATTTGCCGACAAGTGTAGAGGGGAGCAGGGAGAGTGTGATGTCTGGCGAGCCAAAGGGAGGAGGCAAACTGGACAGTCGGACAGGTAGCTCGAGGATATTACGAAATGTAATAAATATGGCTGCACTAATTGTGTGTACAGCTTTCAGAGTTTGCTGTTCTCAATGTCGGCCTGCTTACTCGCTATGGCCAAGTCGGCCGGAGGAAGAGGGAAAAGTAGAGTTGGACGGCGGAAAGAAGGAAGAAGACTGGATCGCAACGAGGCTGGAGAGGCAAGGAGGCCGGGCGGTGGTGATGCGTTCATGAGTCGTGGAGTCGGAGAGGGAAGATGTGATGGACGAGAAGAGTTCTGAAAAGCAGAGAGTTTCGGCTGGTGGCCTAATCAAATCAGGCCAATTCGAAGGTTGGGCCGCAGACTTTGGCCTTAACCCCGGTCGGGCGATTAGGCAATTCGCGCGACAGTTTACTCGGGCCAAATTACAAATCGACAAATCGGCCAACTGGTCGTCGTGAAGACGTCTTTGCCACGTGAAGTTGCCCACGGAGACCCACCCTTTCGGCCGGTAACCGGCCGACTGGACAGACGGCTTGTGTCCGTCTGTGCCTCAACTTGTCTGTGTCGGTGTGCTGGTAGGAGGAATGGGCATGGGCATGAAGCAACCGTTACGCTTTGTTCGGCCAGGACGCTGTGAATGGCCACTTTTCATGTCTTCACAGCTTCAGAACGCGCCACTTGTACTTGCTGGGCGAGGGTTAATGGTCAAGTCGATCTGAAGCCTCGTCTTCCGCGGCCAC